CCCCAAAACCCCAAAACCCCAAAACCCCAAAACCCCAAAACCCCGTTTTAAAATCAATAAATTGAAAAATCTCTTCATGTACCGAACAAAAATGTTTAAGAAGTGGGAAGTTCAAGCCTACAAGTAGGTCACTTATGATTGTTTTGAAACCATTGGAGAAGTCATTCCTTATGGAATATGTGCCCTCAAGGCATGAAGATAGCCTCTATACCTATACTTATCTCTGATATGCATATGACTCAGTTTGGACACTCATATCTAAATTTGATTATTTCAAGGACTTACTCTCCACTATTGGGTATCCATTTTCAATGCCGCTTGGATAAAGTTACCTGAGGAAGTTCATCTATAGCCTCTTGTGTCGGAACTTGTCTGTTTTGAGCATTTATGCTCATATTTCCAAGCTCATTTTCGAGAATTTGGTCAATTCTGGAGAAACTTTGAGAGAAATTTGTCACAAAATTTTGAAAATCAAAAGCTTCTTCAAAGATTTCTTGAAGTCTTAAAAATTGATCTTGGGATAATAATTCTGCATTTGGAGCATCTATTGAAACAGCGATTGTTCGTTCAAAGCGGAGGGTTGTTCCATCAGATTCACTTTCATTTTCACTATTTTCATCCAGGACCCAATTATTCCCAAATGTATACCTTTGCTGTATTTCTTGTCGCCTTTCAATGCGATTTTCATCAGTTCTATTCGGAGTAATCGTTCTGATCAATCTGTTTAATTCTCCAAAAGGGTTAAATATTGTAAGGAAGAATATTCTCCTGATTATTCTGGCTTTCATGACTTTGATTACTGCTCTCTTCGTGGTTATGACTAGCTTCAAAAGACTCAAGACTTGCTGGATCAATACCAAAACTTTCATTATTTCTGTCGTTGTTATCTTCTGAGGACTCATCAGATTTTCTTTCACAGAGATTGTCATTTTCACTCTCTGTTAAATTCTCTTTATTCAACTCATAATCAACAACATATTGCTTTAAGCCATCATAATCTTTATTTTCAAGGTGATCACTAAGAGTTTGGATCGATATATGTCCCCTAAATTGGTTCTTGGACTACTCTGTCTAGTCTATTGAAAGAATTAAGCATAATTTTGTCAAAATAATACAAATTTGCTATAAAAATTTACCTTTCATCAGTGACTTCAATGAAATCACTGAGTCAATAGCAACATCTGATGCATTGATTTTCGTATTGATAGTCAGAAACCCTTTGCTTTGAAATCTTGAATCAGGAGTGACAATAAACTTCCATATTTAAATGTCAAATTTTGTAAAATGTTGAGGGGTTTTGGGGTTTTGGGGTTTTGGGGTTTTGGGGTTTTGGGGTTTTGGGG